AAAAAGACAGGGGGGATCCTGAAATAGGATTTGGGAGCTAACAAAGCACAGGGAAATTTGATCCTGGTATTAACTTAGCGCCCTACGTGGCAACAACTAGGAAACAAAAATTCTTATAAACTATAGTAGCTAAATTTAGTTTGGGTAGTAAACGCACTATTTGTCTATCTATCTATCTATCTATCTATCTATCTATCTATCTATCTATCTATCATCTTTATCTCTGCATACATACATATATTCCATTCTCCGGATAGGATGGATTTTAAAAAGATGATGAAGCCACCGGCCCTTTCACCCAAGAAAAACACATAAGCATAAGCGAAAGCTCCAAGAGATTTCTGCCAGTCAAAAAGAAAAGTCATGGGTTTTTCGATTTATAAAAGTTGAGAATCTTGATGAGTAACTGAACTGCGGGTCACGATTCCATAGTGTCAGGAGCACTCCACTCCACGCTGTTTGAGGGCTTGTGTTTAGGACTGTCACTGGAGTTCGGCTGATAGAATCTTTGCTTCAATGGAAAAAAATCACAATCACGAAGAGCGGAAAGCAGAGCGAGGGAGTTAGGCCAAAAAGAAGCCCCGCCTTGCTCTTGAAAATATCCTCACCTCTATGTGGAAGTTTGTCGAAAGACTAATTTTAGGAAGTCCTCCACCAAGACTGACAGACTCATTCTGGCATTAAAAAAAAAAAAAGAGGGGGGGGAGGGGAAGTAAAGAGAAGATCCTGGGTTTTTTTCCTCTCTAACCATAAATTTCTCCAGCAATATACTAAGTATTGCTTTTGTTAGAAATAAATTTCCCTATGTAAGCAAAGTTGGCCCTGTGTTGGTTTTCTTTTTTGTAATCTTCTTTCTTTCCCCAGTCCTCCCACTTTCATCAAAGATGGAGAACTCATTGTGCACAGAAAGGACACTTGGAGTTTTGCTTCAGAAGTCCAAAATTCAGCTTAAAATCTTTCCTTTCCTTTTTTTTTTTTTTAGTCATGATCCTAATCAGCAGAATGTTATATTTTTAAACATAAGAACGACCCATATATATGAATCCTATAATTCTCCATCCCAACATCCTTCTTTCCTTCCACTATGATAGACCAGATGCTGCTCTGGACACTGGTTACTTCTTTGAAGGTTAGATGGAACATTTCTCATCTATACCCAAACTGTAAGAGATAAGTTTGAGCTACTGCCCTCATGCAAAGAAATCAATTATTTGTTTCTTTGTACAGTGGCTCATTCTGTTGATCCATATTCCACCTAGAACTAATTCATCCCTGCCTTCAAAACAAAAAGTTTACTAAACTCTAACCATTAATGGGGGGGGTGTGTGTCATTAATTCTAACTCATTGTTAAGTAGGCTTTCTTTTCTTTTTTTAAAACAAGCTTCTCCAAAAAGAAACCAAAAACAGGGTTGAACTTTTTTGTTTTCCTCCTGCCACGGGTCACAGAGAGGCCACTGTTATTAGGAGTCATAATAACAACAGGAAACTGAGATGGCATACTTGTATAGCGATAGTTTAATATAGAAAAGAATTGTTCATTGAAATTCACAAGGAAAAATATCCCTAAGCATCATAAGAGTCAATGCAGAGGTGTGAGAACTGACGTTACATAGTCTGTTCTGTGCTTTCATTCTTCTGGGATGGGGCAGTTGGGTGGTGTTAAGAATGGACTTGGGTTTGTCTATGGCATGAGTGGTTAGTTGTCTTCTTTTTTTTCTCTCTCCTGTTCCCTCTTCTTTTGCTCTTCCTCTTCCACTTTCTCCTGCTCTCCTTGAGCATTAGATTATTCACTACACAGCACTAAGTGATAGGAAACAAATGTGTTTCTTCAAATGCCCAACTTGTATAATCAAACCAAAATTAAAGAACATTTCCAGTACTCCGTCTCAGGACTGCTGCCATCCTTGCACCTGTAACTCAGAGACTAGAAAACACTGGTTATTTATGTTGTACTTTCCACCTCTCAGATCTCTAGCAAGTTGACCCGATTGGATTGTATATCCTTTTTATACAAGCCATGAGTATCTTTCCCCCATTCCACCGACCCCCACCCCATCACTGAATGGCTTAGGAGGAGATCTGTGACTGGGATGAAGCAGCTGTTGGCTTCATGCCGTACTCTAACTTGATTATTCTTTGGACACGTTAGGCAAGCATTAGTGATTGATAATGACGCTAATTAACCCCTTTCCTTTCCAAACAGTAAACTGCTGCCAGCAGGTTGCTACAAACAATAAATATAAAACACTGCATACATCAATATCTGTTTAAAGCACAACTTCATTTGGGCACATTCAACGTTTAACCACATAGTGCTTTCAGTTAACAATTTGGTATTTATTCAAGCACGTCTCTATAGACTGGAAGAGGGAGAGGAAGAGAGAGGGTTAAGAAAAAGGGACCTATAGCTTTAAGACCACAAAATGCAGTCATACCTGTCAGCTGCTGCAAAATTAAGCTCTAATGGAAACCATGCACGTGTTTTTTTTTTTAAATTTCAGGTCTATATTTAAAAAAAAAAAAAAGAAAGAAACTTAATTAATCCAGCTTGGTTCTATACCTATTTAAACTTAACACAAGGTCGATGACCACATAAGATTTCTTCTTGGTGGGGGAAGGCAGCTCTCCTGTCTGACATAGAATCATTGTGGATTTGCTTTTTGTTGAGAAAGGAATAGAGGACATCACTTCATACAGAGTGATGAATTTTAGATTTTAAACAGGATTTGGAGAAACCAGGGCACATATGATCTGATTGTACAGGCTAACATAACCTGAACTGTAAAGAAATGTACATTAAATTTAGAATTTTGATAAATGAATATTCCTAGCAAGTGAATAAAATGTATTCAATTAACTAAAACCCGGTGCACTTCTGAACTGAAGTAGAATTGACTGTAATTGATTTATTTGAAACCAGAGGTTAAGGACTGAATTAGCTAAGTACAACTGGGTATTTCAAGCCACTGACTTCTCAAATGTCAAATCCCTTCTATTTTAAATATTATTTCAGCTGCGGGGCATTGCAGTCCTGATGGTAGTTCCATCAAGAACTCAAATTATATTCATATTCGATTTTGGGGAGGAGTGGATTGGATTGTGATTTTTAAAGGGTGTTAGAGAAGAGAGAGGCTAGGATGACTAAAAATGGAAGGAGTGCTGTTTCCATGAAAATGGGGTGTCATAATTAGTACAGACTAGTGAACATCCTTGTAATTCTACTATGGATCCAAGTTACTTTGAGTTAACCCAAAGAAGAATTACTGATGTTAGTATGTAATCACCTGACATATCAAGTAATCACCATGTGTTTTTAAAATTCTCTGTTGATCACAAAAGAAAAGCAAACTACACTGAGCTGATAAAAATTTTTAATAAACCTGTTTTCCCCCCACCCCTTAAAAACATATATAACTTTTAATATTTTGTTTTAAATAAAGAAAGTAACAGTATCAAGGTCTTCAAAATGTTGAACTACCGAATAGAAATCACTAATTCTCTCCATTTGGCAACCATTGTTTATGACCTTACAATGTTGTAACCCACTACTTCCTCTCTGTCTTTCTCAGGATGCAAGGATTATATTGGGTTCAGGTTTTCCAACATAACAAGCATCTGTAAATCCAGATATGAATGAATGGTATTTAATAAGATTGTTTTCGTTTTAAAATGAGTATTTATGTGTCGTTGGAGAAAGAGCAGCAATGTATGGCTGTTTATGAATGCTATTGTGCCTGAGGTTAGGATCCCCCACACAATCTGAGATGCAGCCAAGAAAAACAGCCGTGATAGACAATGCTTCACTTCACCTGCTACGATATTGTGTGCATTTCATTTCTGTCAAGAGTATGTACAGTTAGGGTTCATTCGCCTCATTATTTTGTTACATCTACGTTTACAGTTAACCAGTCTCTCTAGGAAATAATAAATAACCGCCTTAAAAAACAATTGCCGTGTTGCGTTCTGAGGTTACATTTTCCATTTGAAATTTTTGAAAAATCCACCATTGTTATGAACTCTCTGGCTTTGGAAAATAGAATTTAGACTCCACTAAGTCTCATTTGTTTGTCGAGATTGATTTTACAGTGCCTCCCTTAAGGAGATTAGAAAGTAAAAAGCTGCAAAATGTGGACACTGTCTCATGCTTTGCTTCCTCGGTTCTTCTGAATATTAAGCCTTATGAACAAATGATAAATGTCCGCCAGTTGTTCTATATACCTGTCAGGGCAAATACCTAAATGCTTTTCTCATGACCTTCTCTGTAAGCCCTTCTAGTTAACCATCTCATTTTCTTCTTAAAAACCATTAAAAATCCTCCTCACTCCAAAGCAAAGAATTCCCAGATCAATATACGAAAGCTCTGAATTCGCCATCTTTCTGTACAGCATGTCTTCCCTTCTCTTAAGAGCCAGCACACGGCAGGTCCTGTGATTGTAAGCAGACAGACAGAAGTCTGCAGGGGCAGCATTCACAGCCCTCCCCCACACTCAGCATCCCACCTCACAGTCCACTGCTTTGTATTTCTAAAAAACCGTAGGCGGTGGGAGGTAGAAAGGGGTAGGCTGGCATTAAGGGGGACAGCAGAAACGATTATAGGAAACAATATCATTTCCCTGTGCCCTCTGTTACTTCAAGAGCTACTTACAAGCACATTAGTGAACCCCTCTCTAAATAAAATATTAAAATACATGGGAAACAATTTGCCCTCCCTTTCTGTTACTTTTCTCCTCCCAGTTTTAGCTCATTTACATGTCTTTGCCACTGAGAAACCTGAGCGAGTAAGTGAATGCAAGTATTTCCTTTGTGTTAATGAACTAACAATTTAAATTTCAGTTATCCTCTGAGGCAGATTCCAAAGTATGCAGTTGGGGGTGGGGGGTGGGGGCAGTGGGTAAGGGATTCTTCTGTTCTCCATCTTCCCTGTCATCCTTAATACTTGGCTCTTGTAGGTTTTATGTTTTGGTTTCAAAAACACAAATGAAAACCTAAGGGATCAACATAAATAAAATAAAACTTTATTTTTAATAATAGAATTAATGTTTCTAGTAAGGAAAAGACAGTATGTCATTCCTTTAGCAGTACAAACAATCTTTTCTCCAAAAGAATACATTGGGTTTTATTGTATCATTTGTCTGAATACAGACTCCGTGAAATACCTAAATGATACCCTGCTCTGAACTCCAAGTTGAAAGTAAGTTTTTATTATACTTGAGGGAAACAATGGGTTCAGCTGCTTATTGCAAGGAGCAATTGCCAAGGGAGAGTTAAACTCAATTACTGTAACCATACTGAATAAAAAATACTGCCAAGAACAAAAATACGCCTGGGTAAAGACAGCCACTGAATAAAAAAAAATCGACATAAAGCGTATCAAATATTTATTTATCTGGGCAACAAAGGACTATGATACATTGACAGGCATTGAAAGTACCGTCAGCACAACTCAATACAATACAACTAGAACTGCTTCCAATATGGCCAGTGAAAATACAGAATACCAGGTGGTCCCAAATGTTTGAAGTTCTTTGAACAAAAAGAGAGAGAGAGAGAGAGAGAAGGAAAAATCCCTAACCCTTGGTAAAGACAATATCCATTTATTGCTCGAATGAGGCTTGTAAGGGAGGACAGTAGAATAAAATAAACTTTTTTTTTTTTTTTCTCCCCACAATACATAGAAGGGTTATAAAACCACTCAAGTTTTAAAAAATCTTTGCAGGGTCCAATATCACAGTATCTTTTCTTCTTCTTTCAGTTCAATGAAAAAGCTAAATGTAATATTAATTATATAACTTTTTATTTTACTTTTTAATTTTTTTCTGTTCAGCTGTTTCATTGTTGCCTTTTAACATGCTACCACAGGAGTAAATTCATGGATCTCAGAGGGAGGCGGGGGAAATCCCCCAAATCTTGGATTTCTAAAATACCATGAACCACATGAAGAACTAATAGGGAAGATTAGAAGATTCCAAACCCACTAAACAAGAGGTAAACGAGATCACCAGATAAATAAAATTTAAAAAAAAAAGGGGGGGGGCTTAAAACAGGCTCACCATATTTACAATTCCCATTAAATTACACATAAATAAATATATACAGAAACATGAACACTGATTCCCTTGTATAACCATGAATCGTGTTGCCAGATAAAGTTCAAGTTGGTCGCTTTACCTTGAAGAGGAAAAACTTCTACAACTGAAGACATGACATGGAACTTCGTGTATTTTGTGTTCAAGTTTATTCACAATACTGATAAAAATGTCATTATCCTTTTTGCTTTTTTTTTTAAAGTATGGCTACAATCTGAACTGAAGTATGTAAGGGGAGATGGTGATTCAGTCCCATGAAGCTCATATATATATATTTTTTAACTTTTACGTTCTTTTTTTTTTTAGAAAAAAAAAAAAAGTTTTTGTGTTTTTGCTGTTGTCTGTTGCTGTTGATTCGTTTGTTTAAAAAAGTTCACAAACACTGACAGAACTTTTCTTTGCTGGCTTCACGGCCTGTTCTGTTCTCTTAGGCTCCACATAAGGGCAAGAGAGGAAGTTGAGGCAGAGGGGCTAAGTCCGCAGTGGCTGCCCCTCCAGGGAGCTCGGGAGGACGGAGGGTGGGTGAAGGGTGGCGATGGCAGCAGCAGAAGCAGTAGCAGCAGCAGGAGGGGGGTTCCCCTGAGCTGTCGCCTGCAGGGGGTGGGGGCTGTTGGGACAGGAAGGGGGGTACTGGGGGCTGGTGAGGTGCAGGAGAAAAGGGGCAGGTCTGGAGGCACGCACACCTCACTTTCTATGCTTCTCCTCTTTGTCACTGCTTTTGGCGCTGTTGTCCGTGTGGCTGTTGGGGTTGTTGCTGAGGTACATTTTGTCCATGGCCTTGAGGGCCTCCGTGAGATAGTTCTGCAGGGCTGTGACGGCGGCGCATACTGCTGGACTGCCGAAGCCGTGGGAGATGAGGTTGAAGTGGGTCAAGCAGCTCTGGATGCCCGGCTCTAGGATGGGGTTAGGCCTGGAGTTCCCCAGGGGAGAGCGGTCCTGAGCCAGTAGATCTGTGAACTCTTTGCATATCTGTCTGCAGCACAAGGGGAGCAGAGAGAAAAGAGAGAAGTGAGGCTCCCCTGTGGACATAATCTGCAACAACTGGTGCAAATCTCTCTCAGGTGCAGTTACCTCAGCCCTGACCCAGCAGGAACCAGACCTGACCCAAGTTCACAGAGATGGACTTGGTGGTAGCCACAGGTTGGAAAACCCAGTCATCTCTGTGCCTTCACAAAAGTATCTGTCCTTCATTAAATCCATACCCCTCCTACCTTCACCACTGTCTACATCTCCTCTCTCTCTGTGCTCAACTGCTAACCTCAATGTTGGTGGTTCAAATCCACCCAGCAGTATTATAGAAGAAAAGACCTAGTAATCTGTACCCTTGAAGTTAAGTGCCATGGTTGAGTCACTGAACTGTGACCTTGCAGTTCAAATTGACCTTGTGATCTGGTGCTTATTCTAAGGCACCCCACAAAATCCTATGGAGTGGTCCTACTCTGTAATGCATAGGGTGGCCATTAGTCAGAACTGACTCTAAGGCAACAAACGATAGCTTTCTCTCTCTGTCTCACACACACACACACACAAATTCACAAACTCCTCTCTCAGATACGTCAAACTTCTTCCCTCACCTTTTTCCCTCACACAAACACAGGGCTACTTCAGATATTGGGAGTGAAAACAAAGGCGTTAGACAAGCACCGTCCTGCCAATGCTATGCAGCCATATTCTGTCTGTTCAAAACATTAATGGAACCCCTCTTCTTTGTGCCTCTACAGACACTCAGCTGTAGTTTATGAGAGGAATTAGCCATCCAGTCACCTTCAAATCAGACTGTATTCAAACAGAAAGGTAAAACTTTGCTTGGCATAATTCTTCCCTACAAATTAAAAAAAAAAGATTATCTATTACTCGGATATAATATAGGATGGACTGGGAAAAACATTCTCATTTCCACTGTACTTCTTTTCCTGCACACTTGAGGAAACAAAAATCTTGAGGAAAAGTGGATGGGGAAAAAAAAAGAAAAGGGATATGGCGATGCTCACAAAGCAGAGGGAAGACAAAACAGTGAAATTTCAGAAAGGGTCTTAAAATTCAGCAGATGATGCGATGCCCAAAATTTCAGAAAGGGTCTTAAAATTCAGCAGATGAGGCCCGTAGGCAGGAAGCTCTGTCCCTGAGTTTGGAGCTTTCCTGGGAGGAGGCGGGGTGTACTAGCTGACTTCCTACTGCAAGGCCAGAAACCCACCCCAGTACTAGGCCTCAGTTTCTGCCCTCTGGTTCAATGTCCTCATGCAAAATCGACACTGGTAATGAAGGGCTTCCAAAGCCTTTTAATTTCCAGAAAACATGATCCCAACAGTCTTTTTTTTTTTTTTTTCACACACCACCTGGAGAAGCTTATTCAGCCCAGCTACTGATGGGAATAGAACTTGGGCCATTTTGAAACCTATTTGACATCTCGCCTGTAGGCTAAAATTTGTGTCTGTGTGTGACTTTCGTAGAGGGAAAGGAAAAGAAAGTATGAAATGGAATAAGGATTAGGGTTGAAACTAGGACAGCTTCTGGCTTGCACATTTTGCAGGCCACTGATTAATCTTTGCCCTTGGAGAACATAAACGATAGGAGACAAAAATGGATCTGGGCAAGCCCATTACCCTATGAGGATTTGATTCTGCTCTTTCTGAAACAACACAGCCACAAATTCAAACTAGGTTTCTATCAACCCCTACCCCACCACACACTATACATTATTAAGAGAGAGAAAGAGAAGATGGGGAGGAATAAGGTAGCAAATCAGGGGATGGGGAGGGTGTACACTAACATTCATATTTCCATTTTAAAACAGATTATGGTTCATAATCAATATTAACAACAAAGCCAACTAACACAAAAGGAAAAGGGGGAGTGTGCCCTAGAGAAGAGGAGAAAAAGAAGCAAGGAAATGATTTTTTTTTTCTCTTTCTCTTGGCAATGAGACACAGAGACCCCGACGAGGTAAATGCCTTACTTTGTAGCCAGGAGCATGTTTTTTCTTGTCACTTGCTCATTGGGATCGGAATGTTGCCGGTTGAGAAATTCAGCTACTGCTTTGGCAGGAAATTCGGTTTCACACACGTACCCAAAGTCCCTGGCTAGGTGGACGGCTTCTCCTGGCAAGAGATGGAGAGAAGGAAGTGGGTGCAAGAGAATGAAGAGTTGGGATCAAGATTCATAGTGGAGGGGCCAACACAAGACAACCACATGTCCGCTCCACTCCCAGAAAGCCCTTGTTTTCTTAACCCAGAAGCTGAAGGAAACTACTTGTTTCTCATTTCAGGCTTTTTATTTCCTTCTCTGTTGGATCTGGTGAGTATATTTACAGGACCACTGTTCTAGAAAGCCAAGAGGACATTGGAATGGTAAATCCCACAAATCATCCTATCCTCCAGCCCCATCCCTCCCACCCGGAATGAGTTTTCCAACCTCTTTTTATAAAAATGTCCTTTTATATTCCAACCTCACACCTATCAACACAGTCATAAATGATATTCATAATTACTCCTTGAGCTTTTCGGCAAGAGAACAACTAAGGGTTTAAATTTTAACTTGATCGTATATAATTATCTGTTCATCCAAAACGATTAACCAAGAGGATTTGAGGGTCACTCCACTGAGTCTGTCTGTGTTGTTGATTTTCAAATCTTTGGTTTTAATTTCCTGAACCAGTTGGTTTTTACTGCAGGGCTTCCTGCCATTAGCTCCAGCTCCGGAAGAACGCATGCGCCAATTAGAGCATCAAAGCCCTCTCCACAGAGCTTGTTTCCATAAAATGGAGGGATCACAAACAATAACAGTTCTCCAGAAACTGCCTCCCTGCTACCAGACTCAACCCCCAAAACCCAGATGCATTCTCACCATACACCCTAAGCCACCACTTTTTTGGAATAAGGCTAGTATTGATATTATTTTCAATAAAATGCTAGCTACTGAGTTTCTGGTACTGAACAACTTTATTATTTAACAGTCATATTATTATTGCCTTTGACACCATTAACAAATATGATATTCATAGGATTCCTCTTCAAAGTCATGGTTTCAAATATTTTTAAAGAACGGACAAAACTAGAACTTGGACAGAATTGTAATGCTGTTGTTGTTAAGTGTCATCGAGTCAGTTCTGACTCACAGCGACCCTGTATATGGTTTCTATGGAGCAGCTAGTGAGTTTGAACCGCCAACCTTGCAGCTCAAACTGATGTTAAGGTCGAGTGCTCTTCCTATGGCACCACACCAGGACTCCAAACTGTAATGTTGTTAAGTGCCGTTGAGTCAGTTCTGACCCACAGTGACCCTGTATAGGATTTCTGAGGAGGGACTGGTGAGCTTGAACTGCCAACCTTATGGTTCAAACTGACAGCGCATTAACTCATAATGCCACATCAGGGCTCCACTGTAATGTTGTTGTGAAGTGCCAACGAGTCGGTTCCAACCCACAGTGACCCTCTATATGGTTTCTAAAGAGCAGCTGGTGAGCTTGAGCCACCGACCTTGTAGTTCAAATTGCTGTATGGCGCATTAACCTACAGCGCGCCACACCAGGACTCCATTGTAATGAAGTACACCTCAAATACAATATGTAAATAAAATCAAATGCCCCTTTTCAAAAAAATATAAAGTCCAGCTTTTTAATCTGCCTGGCAGTAAGTGCTTCCCCCCTCCCTTCTTTAGCATAGGACACTTGCAACAGGACACAAGAAAACACTAGGAATTGTACATTCATTTCAACACACCCAAACTTTAATATCAGAAAATTAACAGTAATCTAAAGAAAGCAAGAAAGTGAGTGGATTCTAGTGACAGAGACTTTCTAGAACAAGGAGTGAGGGCAGGGCTGTCTTTTTGGTTTTGCCATTGATGTGTGTGTGTGTGTGTTGTTTTTTTTTACAAACTGCTATGAGAAACTAGTTGCAATACTGTTTCTTTTTTCTGTTTCTACCCAAGCAAACCAAAGTCTAACTGCTCCCCCACCCCCACCCCTACACATCAGGAGATCAGCACAATTAAAGAGAGATAAGGAAACATATGTTTGGAAAACAAAAACCTAAAAGAACATATAACCCTGAGCTTTCAGGACAGTCTTAAATCAGGATGCAGGTTAAGGATTCCCAAATTAATTCAGGAAGTAATGGTCACGCATTTCTCAAAGGCAGATGTCACAATGACTTAAATGATTTACCACTGATCTCCTCAAAAGAGTCAGGAAATTGGAGAATATGCAGTTCTGAAATTGTCACAATGTTTAGGTCAGAAGTCGACTGGGGCTGTGTGTAATTTTGTGGTAGAAGGGAAGAGAGGAGTGTAAGCAAATCGTTTGACAGGCAAGAATTCCATTCACTTCCGGTAAAGTCTCCAGAAAGATGAAACTGCCCAACTGATTCAATATATAACTAAACATCTGGCCACTAAATATTATCCATTTTCCCAGAAGGCAGTTCCCTTCTAGTTAGCAGGGAGACTCACCCTCCACTAGTGATGTGAGCAGAGTGACGTTGGCAGCTTTGCGTCTCCCTGCTGGCAGGTTTAATCCTATTTTGTCCAGTTTTTCTCTTAAAGATCTTCCTCCATTTTTAGACTTCGCCCTGTTTCACAAAGATGCAAAAAAGGAATTTATAAAACGTTGGCTTGTTCTCCATCATACTATAGTCATTTTGAAAGCTTCCTAAATGTGCTTTTCAAACATTGAGAAAACAAGGCCACAAGACATTTCAGGGCAGGAAACGTAGCAAGAATGCTATGGAAAGATCATAGGACATGAATGCTTGTTAAACTGTAAAGTACCCCCCCTGTGTTCCTTATTATTGCAACTATGAAGGCAGGTTAAGAGGTTTTCATTTCCCAACTCTCTAAAGAAGAACCTCAAACACACACAGCCTGGATCTCCAGGGTTTGAGGCACTTTTGAGTTCAACTGATTTCTGTATATTTTCCCTGTTGTTACCACCACACAAATCCCAACGGGGTCTTTAAATTGTCTTTGCAAGATCTGCTGTTAGGTAGTTCACAGTAACCAAAGTTATCATCACTCTCACGTTTGTGAGAATGGCTCTGGCTTTAGTCCCAATGGGAAATTTATTTCACCAACTGCTTACATGCCATGTCACCAGCCTAACTGGAAATGTCAAAGGCTGATATCAGCCTTTAAAAATTCCACTGATTTCAGGGACAAGGAGGCAGTCCTAAATAGATGTCTAAATAGACTCCCATAATCAGAAAGTGGTTAAGATAAATTGTTTAAATGAAACAGCAAATTAATTAATTTCAGATTTTATTCCCTACTCAAGTGCTCTTTAATTGTGTGGATTAGATTATACTCCCTTAGGTAAACAGTCTCCAATATTGGGGGAAGGGATGGGAAGAAGGCAGAGGGCAGAGAAAAGATGTGTGTCAGGGAACCATTACAAAGGGAAAGCACACTGACCGCTAAGGAGGGAGGAAAAGATCAGAGCAGCTGATGATAAAACCTCCCCAAACGGTTTTATAGGCTTTGCATCGGAAACACGCATCAAGCTGAACTGAAAGTCCAAAAATTTATCGAAAAATGAATAAATTCAAAACAATGAAGTTCTTGATCTACTTTTTAAAAAGAAAAAGGCAAAGTTAAATATCTGGGTTACTTTCAACCCAAGACCCACCACCACTCACAACTCTGGGGAACGAAGGCTCCCCCACCCCCTTCACTCTGCAAAAGATAGGTGCCCTGAGGGGAGGTGCTTTACCTCCCGAGATCTTTAGGAAATCTTATCTCGAAAGAAATCATTCCGACCTGACCTCGCAGGGGGGAGGGGAGAATTCTTGGCTGGCCAGTCCATAACAAATGCATTCTTCGGAGCTTACTACACATAGAATGCATGTAAAGGAGCCTTGCACTCAACCAGGCATACATCAGGGCCCCAAGATAACCGGACAGATATGCGAGAGCGTCTGGCATCTTCAGTCGTGGCCACTGGACATGAGAGAATGCCTTTCTTTAGTTAAAAGTCATTCTATTAAAAACCCTATTCAGGGGACAAGCGGTTACAATAGGAGTCCCTACACTAGGGAAAGGGTGAGCGAGCAGCAGAGAGGAACTTTTCCTGGGCTTGCAAGGTGTGCGCAAAGATGGAAAGGCGGCTGCATTGCGCCCCGCGGCTGCAGCAGCTGGGACTGAACCCACTGCGCGGCTTGTTGCGCGTGCGCGCCGGGGCCGGGAGCCGAGGGCGCGCACCAAGCCCCGGAGCGCGCGGGACGGTGGCGGAGAGCGCAGGCGCGCGCCGCCTCGCCCCGCCCTCACCTCCCACCCACTCGTTTCTACGCTAGTCTTCCCGCCCCTTTCTTCTCCAGTTTAGGAGAGCCGCCGAGCTAGCCCGGCAGACGACGCCGGCTCCGTAGCCCGGCGCAGGCGCAATATGTCTGCTGGCCGCGGACAGACGGGCGGGGCGGGGCGGGGCCGGGCCTCACCTCCGGAGTACTCCGCCCAGCAGCGACGCGTTGAGACACTCCGGCGGAGAGAGGCGCCGCTGTACTTCCGCCACCGTGACCTTGTACTTCGAGGTGGAGCTGAGGAGCGAGAGGCGACCCGGAACTGAACAGAAGACTTCGTTGGGGTTCACCACTCCGCCAAAGAGGTTATCCTTGTTAATAGGGATAGCGGAGACGGCGTTGCTGTTGGACTTGGATAGGGACACGGGGCCTGCGGAGAAAGAGTGGAGTCCTCGTGTGGCCATCGATGATGCCCCAAACCCGGCCCAGACTCTAGCCCTCTGATAGGCACGGCTGGTCCCCGGGCTTGCGCCAAGGAATGCTTTTCTTTCCGCCCCCGTCCCACGTTTCCCCCTCCCTTCCTATTCCTTACCCTCTGCCTTTCTTCAGGGCCCAGCTCTGCCTGCTTTTTGCCTGGACCCTTTTTCTCTTAGCTCAAATGTGGGGTCTAGAGGTGGATGTTGAAACTGTGACCTCAGCTCTCAGCATCCGAGAAGAGCGGGTCGCAGACAAGGTGCTGGAGTATAGGGTGCAGTGGAGGGGGCTACATTCGCAAACCGAGAGCAAGTTACATGTACTGTAGGTGTTTTGTGGGAAAAGGGGGTTTAGGGTTTGGGAGAAATTGAGTCAAAGATTGATAATTAAAATGAACCTAAAGCATACTGTAAAGGAGCATTTCACTTAAGGCACCAACTTTCCAGCCAGGTGTGGGTTCTGTTGTCTCACATCACACATTCCCTGACTCCTTCCCATGTTCAGTTCTTAATAAAATTCTGGTTTTGGAGACCCATTCCAAGCCCAGTTTTGAACTGAGCAGAGATGAGGCCTACCATGTGTCCTTTTGTTGAACAAATCCTTAAAATAGCCCCCTCTCTGCTTAAGCTGCTTTATAGGGATGGGGGCCAAGAGTATTTTCTTTCTAGTTAAAACCTTAAGCTTCACTACTGTTTACAAAAATTCAAGCCCAGCAGAAAGTGTACTGCAATATAATTCAGATACATTCACAACCTTTTAAGTACAGTCTGCATTTGTATTTAAAAATTCCACATGGAGACATAATAGGCACACATTTTCATCATAGTACTCTTCTCTTATGCCTTCCTTAATGGGGGTATTGTAGACGTATGGCGAGGGGGGGGGGTCTAGGTTTTGGATAGATCACTTGTGACATTAATAGCTCTGGGGAGGCTAATAGAGACAATAGGAGTTAAACGAACTCTTGAGAGATTACTAATAAAAGAGCCAATTATCATGTCGACTTGGAAAGAGCATCTCTTAAGATTTATCCCTTGCACATCTAATTTGATGTGACAAAGACTTCACAGATGCAAAAATGAAACTTTAAAGTAGCTAACAATGATTGGAGTTAGGAATGAGAACAGTTTCACATAGCATCCTCCTCTGGTGGTGCCTAGAATCCTGAAATGTCACACCGCTGCTCTCATCATAACAACAACAGAAAATGCTGCTGCTGAAGAGTGGGTAGCATTATTCCAGTAAACTTTATTTCTATCCACCAGACACAGTGCAAATTAAAATCCATCCAAATCACTTGACACTTCTGTATTAACAAATCTGCTACTAATATTGACATCTTCCAAAGAAAGATGCTAAGTTTAACCAAAAGCCAAATTTTTGTTAACCTAATTCACCAAGTTTTAAAACCCTTAAACTGAAAACCACTAACAAGAAGCTAATTTGAAGAACATGAAAGTGTTTTCTCTGCTAATGAGCTTTGTTTTCATCATTGGTCCTTATTTTAATATTAATTTGCTTGCACTATTTTACCACTATACATCATTTCTTTACACTCCCCACAATGGATTAAACTATTAAACTGTTTCAAAATTGAAATGTCATTTCCAAATCAGCTCAGGTATTGCACATGCTCTGCATTTGTCCAGATAGCATTAAACTAAATTGAGTGGTCAAATCATGAATCAAAACAAAGCAAGCTTGTTGCCATTGCTAACATACAGAAAGCCGACCTGTAAGCGTTGCTGTTCTATGACTATTTGCTAATTCTGAGCCTTTAGGAAATCCTATTTGAAAAAAATAAATACAGCTCTGCAAGTTCTTTTAAATAGCACTGTGCTTGTACGGACATGCTTGGAACGCAGAAGGAAATGGCTTACCTTTCTTAATTACAGTTTGATCTGGGATGTTAATACCCGGGTCTTCTACATGCTGCAACAAAAGGATACACATGGATGTAAGTGTATAATCAAAACAAAAGGAAATGAATATTCCGTGCAAGATGGGGGGAGGGGAAGGTGTAGAATCAAAATTCTCCCTCCCCTATGATGACATTTATATATAAACATCTTATCTTGGCTTATTGGAATTTGGGGCTTTGCAACTCAAGAGGTTTCACTGCACAGCCACGGCCAATTTCTCCTCCTCCAGCCAACAATCCACATTTGAAGGAGGCAGGAGAGGGGGGAGCATAAAACTTTCTTTGGAAATTAAAGCAAGTTGTGGAGCACCTAATCTTTCAGAGTCAGTTCAGCCTTTAAAAATGCACCAAGCTTCAGTTAGGTGCCTTAGCAGATCCTGACTTAAGCGAGTCCAGTGATCAGGCAGCAAAAGCCAGAGAAACACAATAGAAATAGCAGAAGAGTCTTGGAAGCTTTTTGGAAACGTTTTAGGTGGTATGATAAAGCTATCTACACCTTCCCCTATAGGAAATTAGGGGGGGACATTAAGACTTCTGCCTAAACTGGGCTCAGACAGGAATATGGAAAATATTTTTAAAAAACAAAACAACCTCTGAGGTTGCTTTCCTGTTGTCCAGTAAGCAGGTATGTTTGTTCTTTTCTTTATTTCCCTTTCTCACTCTCTCTCTCTCTTTTTTTTTTTATTACAGATGGATGTGTGTATTTGTGTGTGCTAGAGTCAACGTGATTAGAAAGTAAAACGAAATCATGTTTTCTAATGCAGAAACTGACAGGCAATATAATGTCTGGCTGTGTTTACAAATTAGCACCAGGGCTGCTGAGATAGAAGATTTCACAATCGTTACCAAACACAGGCATTACCATTTAAAAAACTATTACTTCCTTCTCTAGTCTTTGTCCAACAATAATACTGATTCAAACATTTTCCATTCTGTCTTGGATTTATGCTCCTGTTAATTGTGCCTGATCGCAATGATTCCGGGTGGATGGTACTAAGTTGCTTTATTACAGGTTTTATTATACTCAATGCTCTCATTTGTAACTTGCCTAAAGTGCTTCTGGATTTAAGTATAATTAAATTGAGAAATGTTCAGAAATGACTACTGCAGCAGCTCTTGTGTTTTAACTATATGGGGAAATATGATCCCTGTATGCATGCACCCTAAACCCATAAAGTAAATGTAGTGTGGCATAATACTTTTATTTGTGTTATTTCTAAACCTTGTCCATACAGGGAAGACTGTTAAGTTTAAAATCCCACTGAGATATTAATGATTAAATAATTTTCACCATTGATTTGATTTTCTTAAATATTTCACACAGTCACTCTTATTAAAGGTTAACTGTTGCAGAGATGGGAACACTGAAAATAACCCTTTTCCTGACCCAAATTCCTTTGAAAGAACTTTTTCTTAAAAGATAGGGGAGGGGGAGGGGGAGGGAAAAGCCAACTGGGTTTCCTTGTTTTCATTTGATCTTTTGGTCAATTTCTCCTAACTGACCAATCTCATAACAAAGAAAGATTGTACAGGTGTTAAGAATTCACACCAGTCACCTAGGAATTTTTGCAAAGTAGAACAATTCTAGATCACAATTGTCCCAGAAACTTGCAACATTATTTTGCAATTCAAATATTTCCTAAGAGCAGGCAAGGAACACATTTAGGAGTCTCTCTGGGAAGTAGAGCTAAAAACAATCACAACTTTCGATTAAAACACACACACACACACCCCAAAACCACTAAAAAGCACACCGCTCTTTTCAGAACTATTGCTCTTCTCCTATTTTACTTCAAAAAATTAAAAACATGTAACTATTACCATATACGCATAAAATGCTTACTAAACCCTACACTGGATTAAATGCCTACTTTCCTGCTTTCCTTGCAAGCTGCTAGCTAAGCTTAACCAACAAATTTCAATGATTAACAGAACCAAATGAGAGATGTAATAAATTTTCTATTTTCCTATGAAACTTAAATAACGTTTTAAATTCACCAACTAAGCAGGTAAGTTCATCTGACCATTTCCCTTGCAATCTAATGCAGTAATCATTAAACTGTCAACGGACATACTGCTACAATATTTGATGCAGTCATTTGAAATAGCATTTTAGCAAAAATCACATCCAGATACATTTCCTCTCCAAAGAAAAGGAGCTTTAACAGAAGCCTTTACAGCTTTAATAAAATTATTGGCTTGTTCTAATTCCATTTCAGGAAGGTTGTGAGAGAACCATAAATAAGTAGGATTGAAGCAGAGCAGAGATGCTGGTTCAAATTTAATTTCAGAACGTATTTTCAAATTATCAATAGCCTGGTTTTCATTGTAAATAGTCGATGTGCTAATGCCATGCTTATTTAGAAATCATTTAAAACTGCATATATTGATAACTGAATTAGAACTCAAATAACGCATTACCCAACAGTTTCCAAACATTTAATTTAATATGAGGTGTAGCGGGTTCTGATAGGCGTTGGGAACCCAGCTAATGATTTATGAGGTCACCACTTAGCACCCCTAGGAAGAGGTCTCTCTGTGCTCAAATTTGCTGCTTTTCTTTAATCAGGATAGAGTGTACACATAACTTTTGGGTTTCACTAGTGCTCATAAAACCCCGTTAAAAAAAATACTTTCTTAGCGTGTCTTTTTACACTTCTGTTGTTGTTTAATTGGGAGAGCATTTAATGAGCTTTTTGGGTTGAATTTAACTTCTTTCCCAGGATAGAAAGAAATCCCCACCGCCAGACCCTGCGGTGGAATTAGATCCTCTTCTAATGGAAACTGTTTACTGTCATCGCAAGGGAAAAATATTGTTAATGGTGGCATTCGTCTGATTTATTTCTGTGTCGGAAATGGCAATGCCGGCTTTGTTTGAGGGAGCTCCAAGAACCATTGTTCTAGGGGGCCAACTCTCAACTACTTTTTTATTTAGTTCGGCTGTCTATTTGGATCGTCAAAGCTACTTCACAAAAAATAAATAATAAAAAAGATAATACCATTAAGAAAAACCCGAGCCCACCGTTTCGCTGCAACTCATATCCCAGGTGGGTGAGTAGGGGCCACGTTGGCGCCCACACCGCCTGGGCGGCCTCTTACCGGAACATCCTCGATGGCGTGAGGTAAAGAGTGGATCGAGAGGTCTCCGAGTCCTGAGCCGAGCCCGTGTGGGCCGTGCAGAAGATCATCGTGCCGCCGGTAATCCCTGCGAGGATCCAAGCCAGACAGCTGATGGGGCAGCCCCCGGTGCGTGTGCAGTAGCCCAGACTCCTGGCTCTGCCTCTGGCCGGGCCAGCCCGGGTGCTGCGGCTGCGGTTGAGCGTGCAGGGGGTTCAGGCTGTAGGGGTCGTTGACGTGGGAGTAAGGATCTTGCGACTGGGGATAGATGGGCTGGTAGGGTGGGGGGAAGTAAGGGGGCTGGAAGTCGGCATTGGGGGTGTGGGACAGCGGCGGGGCGCTTGTGTAAGGAGATTGACCTACAGTGCCCAGCTGGGGCAACCGTGCTGTCCCGTTGCTGGTGCCGTCGTGACGGTCCTAGAAGAAAACGAGATTGAGAAAGAGTAAGAAATCCGGCAGCGAGTCGGAATGGTCCACACTAAATTCGCTCGACAAGCCTGCGTAGGTAACCACCGGCTCATGCCCAACAGTCCAACCGGGAGAAAAATTTAAAATCAGCTTTAAATTGTCCATTTCGGAAAACACCTCAGAAATAAATAGGCCCTTGCAAACACGCAGGAGAATCAGATTGTGCAAGACACTATCCCTAAGCTATTTCATAGTGGGGGGTGGGAGGAGGCCTCCCGGAACACGGCCTGTTAAACTGCAGCGTGAAACCTCCCTTAGACAAAATGAAAACTACAACTAAATATTAAACAGCAAAAGCGGCCTTTTCTTTTCCCCCCCGGATTTGAACCTGCTTGCCACTGCGTTATTGTTTACCCTGTTCCATTTATTTGGAGGAAAAAAATCATAAAGGTTCAAAGGCTATTACCATTTCATGACTATTTAAATAGAAATATATTTCGCAGAGGAGCTATAACGAACACATATATTTAAATTACTAGCTTAAAGAAGGTTTTAACTGCAGGATCGGGGGTCTGTCTTTTTCGCTTCTTCAGTTAGGACCCTTCTTCTCAACGGGGTCGATTTATGATATGGATGGGGGGGCAAGTAAAGGTTTGAAATAGAAAGATACAGCCTTACTGGGTTTAAGAGAGAGGTACACCCTAGGGCGGAGCCCCCCGCCCCTTCCATCCCAGCCCCAAAGGGCAGAAAAAAACGCCTGACTTTATGTTCCTCTCGCAATTTGCTTGCAAAACAAGCGAGCAGAGTTGATTCCAGGGAATGTAAACCCTGGGAGGTTCACAAGCGGCCCGAGGGTAGGGGGCACATTGGGCTACACTTCTCCTGCATCAAATTTGAAAGCATCTCCAGAACAAGTGGAGACGCAAGGAAATAAAGATGAACGTGGCGAGAAACACGCCTTGAGAAGCAGCAGCTAGGTAGGTCTGAGCGCGGGGAGAAGCCGGGTGAGGGGCACAATGCATCCGCATCCGAATTAGGAATGAAAAAGAGCGAGAAAAAGTAAAGAGGTGAATGTAAATGAAAGGGGCAGCCCTGTAGGAAACCTGGGCTTGAAACTCCAGGTCTCATGCAATTTCGCAGCCCCAGGTTTCCAGAGTAGAATTCCTAAAGAGACAGGGATGGGAGGATGGGGGGTGGGACTCACCATAGCTGAAAAACTGTGAACTAACATCTGCGAAGAGTCTGGGGTAACCAGTCAGGGTAGAAAAAAACCAGCAAGGCTGGCCCCGCCGCCCGAACGCGCCCCACACAAAAGGCGCTGCGAGCCCCGCGCCACCCAGGACTCGAGTCACGGCACCGAGGCTCCGCCAGGCGCGGGTGCCCCGCTCGGCTCCATCCGAACTTGAACCACCGATTCGAGCTGCGCCTTCAGTTGGTCGAACCCACGGTCTCTATCCGGGCGCGACTGGTTCGGATTCAAAGTTCTTTTAAAAATTAGCAACCCCAAACACAGAAAAAGAAAAAAAGTGTGTGTGGATGTATGTGTGCGTGTGTGTGCCTTAATCCGTGTCTCTTTTCTTAGCGGCGGCTTCGCTGGAGCTTCTAATACCCACGCCGGGCAGCGTTCCTGGAGCCTCCTAATAGCAGATATTCATGACTATTAATATGACACGAATACTTAATAAGGGAAGAATGCCTGGAAATGCAGCGTGAAGCAGCGAGGCCACTCGCGCCGGAGCCGGCTCTCAATGCAGTCCATTGACGGCGCCTCAGTGTAGCAAATCGGAGGTGGGGCGAGGGCGCGCGCGAGACAAAAAGCGGGCGGGCAAGGGAGCGGGCGAGCGCGCGGGGGGCCGCGGCGCGGCGGCTGGCGAATCACAGGGAAGGGGCAACATTTTAAAAGGTGGCAGAGCAAGCAAAAGTGAAAGAGAAAGAGGGAGCGAGGGAGGCAGCGGAGAGGGAGGATGTGTCTGCGTGCGCGAGTGAGAAAGAAAGTGTGGGCGAGGGCTAGGAACCCGAAGAGGGGAGAGATGAGGAAGAAGGGCGGAGGGAAGGAGGGAGAGCCTTGGAGGAGGGAGGGGAGAAGGGAGGGGAGAACGGGAGGGGGAGGGGGGACGAACGGCGCACAGAGGGGGAGGGGAGAAGAGCAGCTGAGAGTGAGGACAATCGGACCCAAAAGGCTGGGGCAGACCTCGGGATGCCGCGAGTCGCCCGCCAGAGATGCCGGGGACCGCGGCCGGACATCCGTCAGGCTCTCGGCACAGGAAGCGCTTCTCGGCCCTTTTCGGCCACGAGTTCCTCTGCACCACTGTCGTGCCAAAGACTCCGGCCCCGGCGGCCCGCCGCCGCAGGGCTCCTCCATAGCTCGGCGTTCCTCCGAGAACCAGCCCGGCCTCCGCCGCTCCCCCTCCGCGGCCGCTGCTTCGGGTTCCCCCGGACGCCCGGGGCTGCGTACTCAGCCTACAGGCTCTCCCGGGCCAGGTTCGAGGAGGGAACTGGGGACGCGGCTACTGGCGAGTAGAGACGCTAGGCGGCCCAGCCCGGGCGCCGCTGGCACCGGCTCCCGGCACCCGGCACAAACCCGTCGGACTGGCTGAGCCACTCCCGCCCGACGCCCCCCGGATGACACGGCTCACTCTCCTGGGCCGCCAGGCTGTCGGAACAAGCGGCACTTGGCCTCCTGCGTGTCCCTGCAGAGCCCCACGCAGAATCAGACAGCCCGACCGCGCTCGCAAACATGAAATCCCAGCAAAGTTGTTGAAATCGCCTTCACTTTGTCTCTTCTCCCTCTCTCTCCTTTCTGCTTTTCTTTGACCCGCTCTCTCACACACAGTCACGCGTGCGCTCCAGGGCCCCTCTGGGGGTGGCTAACTTACCCCCACTCCACCCTGTTCGCACAGGTTCCGAACGCCACGCGAAGACTCGGACTTCGCCCGCTGGAGCCCGCAGCTCTCGCCGGGCTTCGGCTCCACCAAAATTTAGTATCAGAGGCGCGGACCTCAGTCAGATCGAAAGGATTCATCCTCCGGGACTGGGCAACACCGATTCACCCTGACCTTCCCGCAAAGCACAGGCCCCAGCCTCGACAACAAAGCGCGCTTCCCTGGCCCGGGGTCCCTGCACCTCCTCCCCGCGTGCGGCTGGAGTCGCCAGAGAAGCCTGAGTCTCATGGGAGACGCACCCTGTACCCCATCTATCGGGGAGGGGGGATGCGAAAGAATAGGGGTTAGCTCCAGAAAGGAAAAAAGTTTCTAGAAACAAAGATTTAAAATAATCTCCAGAAAGGAAAGAGGGAGGGGACGAATGACACATTGTTCGCGTAAACCCAGTTTCTGATTTCAAGTGAAGACAAGACTCCCGCCGATCTGCATGCACCCAAGAACTCTCCGCCCCACATTCCCAGGTCCAAATGACAAAAAGAAAAAGAAAGGGGGGGACAGCAAATTCCGGGACGGTCACCAATTTAGGCATTCTCCCAGCTCCCCCACCCCCAGCAACTCATTCGCTCATTTCGGTGGGAGCTGCAAGGGCTATTAAGGCAGAGGCCGCCAGGACTATTCCCAGAGTCTTGTTGGGGCTTCTCTGGATGCCCCAAGAAGCCGAGCTTCGCAGACCCTGGGTCCGCGCATGTTTTCTGTCTGGTGAGCTCTGGCACTAGAGGCAGCGCGGCGCCAGAATTCCCACGGTCACGCAGCCGAGCGGCAGGACCAAGTGTGGGGGTCGGTGCACTGGTATCCACACGGCGGACCCTGTCTCTGTGGGAACTGCTGCTTAGAACTTCTTCAGCAACAGAGAAAACCTGGAGGCAGCCTTGCCGCCTGGATGCGTCCTCCCAAATTTAACCCAATACGGGGACGTGAAACTCTGTTTAGAGTGAAGAGTGGAACCTTTTCCGAAATTATAAGGATTTTTTTTTTTTTAAGAGGGAGGAAGATTTAAAAGCAGATAGTAAGTTAAAAAGGCTACTAGAGGGTTTTCTCTTCCTAGTTACTTGGGCCCCCAGAATCGTGTCGGAGACAAGCGGAGTGCAACAGACGTGTGCCCAATTGCCAGCAATTGTTTCAAAACCCACGCTCCTCTCTTCGCCCCGCTCTTAGGCGCAGTCAAAATTGTTAGAAAGGGGAGAAATGGGACACTCCCTTTCCAAAAAAGGAACCGAAAGAAAGGAGCGACCTCGTCCTTCCTCTCCGGCTGTTCCCCCGGGTTCTTCAGGCGAATCGGAGGGGCGGGCGCTGAACTGGGGAAAGTTTGTCCCACCCGCGTTTCGCAGCTGGCTGCGAGAAGAGGAGGAGCGGGAGGGTCCAAGCTCAAGAGTCTGCGGCCGTGAGGATGACGGAACCGGCGCCGCGCTTACCTCGCAGTCTTCGTACTTGATATTATCCGTCAGTTTCCAAAGCATTTTCATGGATCGGCGTGAACAGATTGGCCCCTCTCTGCCTCCCACCCAAGTGGAGCTACTCTCTGGGTAAGCGCAAAGTGCCGGCTGCGGGCGGTGAGCGCAGGAGGAGGAGGAGGAGGAGGGCGAGGAGGAGGAGGAGGGCGAGGAGGAGGAGGAGGGCAAGGAGGAGGAGAAGGGCGAGGAGGAGGAGGCGAAAAGGGAGAGAGCTCCCGTGTGCGCTCGGAGATCTCCCTCTAATGGTAGAAACTTTTCTCTTTTCCAGCTCTTTACCAACAGCCTAATCGCCTCATTAGCATATCAACAATAGTCCAATTGCTCGCCAGCACCACAACCAGCAGTCCGCCGCTCCGACCCAGGTATAAAGGCCTCCTAGAGTCCCAGAGCGCACACTTGCTTGTGAGTCGACAAATTCTCCGCGGAGCCACTCCGCACACCTCTGCCCCAACGTCCCGCGCACCTCTCCCCAAACCCACCCCACTGCCTTTCCACGATCTCCGTTTCCTCGTAACGGCGACTTCCAATGCAAAGCCTGGCTCTGGCGCCTAGGTCTGGCTCCCTGCGCCTTACTCCAACCCGGATCGAAGCTCTTGGCGCTGCCCGTTCGACTCTGTCCAATCGGAATTCGGATTTTTTTCCCCTTTCGCTGTTACAAATATAACCCCAAACCAAGATTTCCACCACCACCCCAACAAGATGTCGACTCCACCTCCGATCCCAGCGCCTAGGAAGTTTTATTGGCTTTGCGTTTTTCCCTCCCGACCGCTACCCCTGTTGTTGTTGTTAGGTGCCATCGAGTCGGCACCGACAAATAGCGACCTTATGCACCGCAGAACGAAACACTGCCCGATCCTGGGCCAACCTCACTGTCGTTGCCACGCTTGAGCCCATTGACAAGAGGAAGACCCCTTACCCTTAGATTGGCGATTTTTGCTAAACGGCTCAGTTTGCGCTTCTGGGCTTTGGTATACCTTAATTGCGGCGCGTATAAAATAAAAAGTTATACCCTAAAGAAATGACTTGACGGCTCCTGGGGTTAAATTATTTTCCTCCCGTTTGTACGAAGCTCTGACAATGAAATTGACGATGAAACTAGGCGTTTGGGCTACGGGCTTCCTAGGTTGGAGGTGTATGAGACTATAGAACTCCTACTGAGACTGGCGCTGCAGGATTAGAACTGGATTGCTCGCCAGAAGGTCAGAGGTTCAAACCCACCAGCCGCTCCTCAGAAATCCTATCCAGGGTCGCTGAGTCGGGACCGACTCCGTCCGCACTTAACGTCGAGACGCCCAGTTGTTTCTGGAGTTGAACCTAAATATCTGATAGATACCTAAATATCTAATAGATACACCGTGACATACATGCATCCAAACAAGTCATTGGCAACCAACTCTACACTGTGCTAATCGGCTCCAGTTTTACCAGACCCTCCTCTTTAAAGCAGGAAGGGTTCCTTCATGGTTTGGTGATGTTACTAAGGCGGGCGCGCTCCCTGTGCAGTGATAGAAAGCCGTGGAACCCCGAGGCCCGGGCGCAACACATCGCCCGGGTTGGCCAGTCCAGGCTCTCTGATGCCACACACGGGCCTACTACTCCACCCTCTTTCCCTTTCTAGTTTAGCAAATACTTTAACTTAGAAGAAGACATAGTGTTCCTTTTTGACTAAGTTTTCCATTTGTTCTTCAAATAAAGTTTGTCTTTTTTTTCTTCTCAATTGCTGCGAACTCCTCACAACAGGTCTCGCTTCAGAAGTGCTCTAGTAACAACAACCTCAGGTCTCCCAGATATCCGACGCTGGTCCTCACTGGGGGCCATTGCAAACTCAGTCGTCCCCTAACAGGTGGGAGAAAGGCAAGAGAAAGGAGCTTTGGAAACCCGTTAAGGTTTTGGAAGGGTAATTCTCCCTCTAGGAGACCACAGCAAATGCTCCCAACTAAGCAAAGCAGGCCGGTGGGGGCCCAGAAGCCAAGGCGAGCAGAAGGGGAATTCACGCCCTGGGAGCTTCCTGGCCCTCTTTCCCTACTCGCACACAAACAATCCTTTGGCTCCTCAGGGCTCACAGATTGGCGCTGCCCTCAGTCCGGAAAATGGTCAACAGCGCAAGCACTACGCGCCCCGCGGGACTGCCCGGGGTCAGCCGCCCAGCACAGTGGCTGTAGCTCAGTCACCGCGAGCACCGACACCTTCTTGGCGGTGGCAGCAGTCGCAGAGCATAACCTGTAGGCCAGATCATGGGTCTGGGAACCTAGCTATTTACGCCCCGAAGGCGTCCCCACAATGTGCTTAGTGTGCTTAAGGGAACTCAAAAGTTTCATTTCTTTCCCTCTATGACCCGGGAAAGAATTTAGACTTTTCTTATCCTTGCCCCACCCGACTCCGCTGACCCACAGATCTCTGGCTCCGCACCCTCTGGAGCTGCGAAACTGTTGTTGTATTCCTGCCGAGGGCGCCATTGAGGTGCAGATTGCGGCCTGCGGGTCTGCGCCGCCGCCCGCCGTGTGGGCGCTGAAGAAAAGGCCGCGAGAGCGCCCGGGTCACCCCAGGAGCCAGCGGAGTCCCATTTGTCTGAGTGTCATTACCTCGACAAGTCACTAGATTGTATGCCAATGATTCACCCGTGATGGGTCCCCAGGACAACTAGGCCTAGAGCCGGTGTAGGGATCCGGGATCCAGGCCTGACCTGAGGGCGTGTCGGGGGAATGGGGGAAGGGTAAGAATCTCTAAGGAGGAGAGGCCGAGACACCTGGGGAAACAAAGACATAGCGTGGGAGTCAGATGACTTCTTTTCCCTGGTTGTCAAAACCCATTGAGACCCTGTCGCCCAGCAGGCAGAACCCGGCAGATCCGGCCCCTCCGGGCCCCAAATCTGCTCGCCCCACCCGAGATCCAGGCCTCCCGCCACTTGCCAAATCTAGAGCCTGCAGAAACCAAACCCGCGTGCCTCTCCTTCACTCCGCAATTCGCAATCCTCGCAGCTTCCAAACCTCATCCTGGCCCACTGGAGACCCAGACCTAGGCCAAACCAGTACCACCGGTCCTTCTCACCAGCCCGGAGCTCTGCAGCGAACTTTATCTAGGGCTCTAAGAGATACCGAAACCCCCGCAGAATACCGACAAAAGACTCCCTTTACTTCCCAAGCACCAGAGACAGAGTAAGGAAGGGACGCATGGCCCCTGGGGGCAAGAAGGTGGAAGGTATGGATTCTCAGGATTTTAGCATGGTGTGATATTTTCATCCTATCCTGAAGTGACTCCAATCTTAGGGATAAAATAGTATTTTGTGAGGTTTAAACGGAGGAAGGAGGGTATAAAAGAATCCACTCAATAAAAATAATAAGTACAAGGTAAGAACTGCCAAATACAAACCGCCTTGGTTTCCGCAACTCCAGGGAATGTAACGAGAACGGGACTTCTCTCAACTTATTTTTAATGACCCAACTTTGAACAAAGCTGACGAACTCGCACCAGGAAAAGTAGGGTCGCGATTTTTCTTGGCGGAGGTTGGGGCGCTTGGCTCCAAGGCCCCACAGGCTTTGGATACTCAGAATTTCACACTAGCCGGGGCCTTGAGCCGTTGGGTTGAAAAGGACTTCGCGGTTCGAATTATGAAATCAGTGTAAAGGGGGAGGTTGTTAGCCTAACCAACCTGTCCCAAACCGCCCACGTTCCCGGAGGGGAAAAAAAAAATGTCTGCAAGTTGGAAGAAGAGCGCTGGGGAAATGCACTGTGGCCGGGGCGGGGTCCCGGACTCCCAGAGGGCAGGAGCCAGAGCTCAGCGGAGCCGGGTGCGCGCGGCCTGGCCTAGCAGGACAAACTTGGTTGGCGTTGTTTTCGGCAAATTCTCGATCCTCTACCTCAACACCCACCATTCACACTCCCACCCCCACCCTGTCACCCCCCACCCGCCGCCCAAGAGGAAAAACCGGCTCCAGGAAGCGGCTTGAGTAGATAGATAAACTTTGCACAAACTCTTAAGTATCTCCCAAAGGAGCATGCTCGCAGCCGCGACCTGGCCACCGTAACAATCTCCGTAGCCCATAAATCCCCCAAACGGGGACACTACAAGAGGGACAGGTGCACCAGAACCCCACCCCAACGCGCAACCCAAGGGTCTAGGGCCTAAGGCTCAGTAAGCACTGAACCTTCCTCCGCCCCGTGCCCTCCCCGCCTCCTGAGTTAGTCATTCACCCAAGTTTGTACTTGGGGGGGTGGGGGGGACGACTGGAACGTAAACCACAAGTGACCCCCGGGGCCACCTGTGGAGCGTGGGCCGGACTTTCCCCGGCTCCGGGCCCGAGCGCCGGGGCTGCCACCCGTGCTCGTTTTTCCGGTCCTTTCTCCCTGGGGAACGCTCCCGGGCGCTGCCAGACGCGCCTCACAAACGACTCCCCTGCCCTGGGCCAAGGCGCTTACTCTCCGCCTCCCCTTCCAGGCCCCTTCCCCCGTTCCACCCCCGCCCACCTCGGTCCCAGCCCAGACAAACCCCTGTACCTGCCAGTCCCCCATTTTGGCAAGTATGGACATCGTGGCTCAGCACTCCTGGCGACTGGTCCCCGCCGGGCATGGGCTGAAGGGCTCCGCCGGGCCCGCTCCCTGGAAGAATCGCTTAGGCAAATCCTTCTTTTTTACCTGCTCACTAACATCTCACCTGGTCATAAAGAGCTGGGTTGCTACCTGCCGACGCATGCGCGCTGGCCCAGGAATTCATTCCGCCAGCCCCAGTCCCAGCGCCTCGCGGAGCTGACCTGGGAAGTGATGGATTTATAGCCGCGGAAATCTCACCATCAGCTCCAGCTTTTCCCAACAGCCCTAACACGCTTTCCCGGTCATTCCCTAGTCGGGGAGCCCAGGCGGACCAACTGCTGGGAGGCGCTGGAAGCGATGTACGCGAGTGTGCGTGTGTATTTTCACGCGCGAGCAATGGGGATGACTACACACTCACCCCGGGACTGCCCCTCCCTTGGAACTTTGGGGCTGGGGGAGTCTCCACCCCCCTGGTGAAGTGAAGGACAGGACCGGCCTGGAGGAGCGACTGGGACCGAGAGACCCAGTACTACAGGACGCACACAGTGGAGCCAGGCCTTCTCTGGAGCCTCGCCACCAGCACACGAGATTAGGGCACCCTGGAACCTCGTGGATGGGAGTCTGCAGTTCACGGGGCCGCGCCGGCGTCTCAACCCAGATCAAAGTGTTGCTCAATGGGTGAAGACGTCGGTAATCCTGTTTCCATTTCTGACTTCTGGGTTTAGTCTCCTCCCACCGCAAAAAAAAAAGCCAAAAACAGAATAAAACCAACACACACATACACACACACATTCCTACACATACATACACTTACACGTCTACTCCTTAAGGTGCTTCCTCTTTTCTTCCCATGTTCACAATTCCTCACTTCCCTCCCCCACTCCTCTGTGTCTTCCCATTTCTTTATCTTTTCCACTAAAAAAATTTAAGAGGGAGAATGGGGGCGTCAGTGGCTCTGGGATAAGCAACTAAGATTTGAGTTGGGGTTTGCTTTCCCATGACAGATAAAATCACTCAAGTGATTTCACCGCTGTTTCTAATTAGAAGGGAGCTTTAAAAGAAGCCACAGGATTTGGGGCTCCTGAGAAGCTCACCTCCCTCGGGAACCAACCACACCTGGCCGGGAGCTAGGCGAGGGAGAGGCAAATAGTCTCTGGGACCCGCTGACCGCCTCCCCGGCCCGGGGCGCGGGGAAAAGGCCCAGTTCTCCTCTGGGACTGCAATTGCGAGAACTGCTAGTCGAACAAGGAGCCGTTTTAAAATCGTCAGGCAAATGTGTATGAAAGGTCAGCTCCGCGCTGCGAAGTGAAGATTGTACCGGACACCAACGCTTTATCCTTTCAATCACGTTTGCAGAGGGTGGGGTGGGGTTTTTCAGAGAAATCCCTGCACCTCCTAAGCATTTAACTTACCCTTGACTGCGGGACTTTCATCCCTGTGTCGATTCTATAGTTGATTTGAACTTTCTTGGACCTGCCTTAGGACTTTGCAGAGGATTGGGATGTGTGAATACGTCTTGGGTAGCTCACCAAGTTTGAGGTTTTCTTTGTGGATCTTTTTTTTTTCGGTGGGAAGGGGTGTAATTAAACAGCGTTTTGAACCCATAAGCATAGCACATTGTATTCTTTCTGGCTCTTTGCAAACTGTCGAAATACTGTGGTGAACGCGGAATTCTTCAGAACAAGACAAATTGAGGGAGCGCCTGTAGCTCTCCTGGATCCCGACGGAGGGCGCTGTGCTATTTAAAAACTGAGCGTTGTTTCACGTTCCGGAGGCCTGGGATTTCCGCGCGGAAGTTGAACACCGGCTGGAGGCAACCTCAGATTCAGATGACTGGGTCAAGCTGGGCCAAGGAAAGTCGAGGCCAGGATGCCGTGCGCGAGGAGCGCCATTTCCACTGTCCATACTCTTTGTAGGGGGAAAAGCTGTCGCAGAGGATTTGGTACCAGACAGAGTTAGTTGGAAGCGGAGCAGGCCAGGCCCAGGGCGGAAGGGTCCATAGTGTCCTGTGTACATGCTGAGGGGACAGAGGCGTGGAGAAGCGGAAAAGAGCAGCCAGAAGTTAAAATTTCGCCTTAGAGAAAGACCACATGAAGTCCAAACTCAGCTGTCATTTACATTTACTGGCTGGGAGACCTCCTCGGAAATCCTATTGGGAAATGCTAGGAGTCAGAACTGACTCGACGGCACTTGACTTGACTTGGCTGGGTGACCAAGGGTAAGTTACTAAACTTCTCTGAACTTCTCTTTGTCACCTATGTGAAAAGTGAGTAATTTGTTGTGAGAATTCAAAGGGACAATGTGTGCAAAGCGTTTGCACCGCGTCGGGCCCACTCTGGAGAAACGTTGTTACACCTACTTTCTGCCCCGCCTCCCCCCATGTGTTCATATCACCCCAAACCCGGTCAATTCCAGCACACCACAACCGGAGCACAGTGGTCAACCGCGCCTCTTCAGGGCCATGGTCTTGCCAGATTTGCGCCCTCGGCTGCGTTCCCCACACTGACTTAGCAGCTCAGGATTTTGCCCCACCTTGATGATCTCTTCCGCTCCGCTCCGCTCCAACCAGCCTCATTCCGGAGAGCCAAGGTCCGCGTGGGGGCCCATCCACTTTCCGCCCCCAGGCTCCAGTCTGCCTCGTAACTACCTGCGCCCGCTACCACGCAAGCCAATAACTGCCCTGGTGACCCGCCTCAGCGCCCAAAAGATCTCCCCGAGTGAGCGAGAGACCTGTGGTAATTCCTGTCGGGAAAGGAACAAGGCAGCGAGAACCCCCAGCCGCTGTCGTGCGGCCACCGCGCAGCAGGTTCCACAGCCAACAGGGCCCGAGACCCTGCGCCCAACCACAAACTCTTCTGTGCGCCCCTTTAGTGCTGGCGGCCTGAGCAGCGGGCAGGGGCGGGATGACCTGGTGTCAGATTGCGGAGTTCCCAGCTTCAGGTAATGCTGAGTTCAAGCTCTCTCAGGCCCCTAGTATCAGGGATCTGCTGGTGGAATCCATCCTGTCCCACTTCCAGCGCCATCAGCCCCCAAATTGCTGCAGGAATAATATCTCAATCAATGTTAGGCTGTCTGAACCTTGGTTTCATCCCAGCACGGAACCTTCTTGACTCTCCCTTGCTGTTGTTATTGTTAAGTGCCGTCCAATTGGTTCCGACTTATAGGGACACTGAATAGGTTTTCCGAAGAGCGGCTGGTAGGCTTGAACTGCCGACCTTGCGGTTAGCAGTCCAATGCTTATCATACAGTGCCACAGGAGTAACGCTCCGTCGAATCGGTTCCGACTCATAGCGACCCTGTGTAGGATTACTAAGGAGAGGCTGGTGGGTTTGAACTGCCGATCTTGCGACTAGCACTCCAGTGCTTATCCTACAGTGCCAATTCAGGACCCTCCCTGTCATTCTTTAATTCATCACCAAGCACCGACCCCACAGAGCTCCCGCTCCAGGCTCTTTAAAGCACGTGAAAACCTAGATGCGAGTCTGAGCAAAGGGTTCCCTCGGTCGCTCACCAGTGAGGAGGCCTCTGCTTCGATTTCCCTTTTGGGGTGCCGTGTTCACTGGGCCACGTGCACATTCCTCTGCAGCGGTTTCTTTTCCTAGACCTTGGGCGGGAGCAACCCTAACAACTCTGGCTCTTTCTTGGGCCTCTCTCAGAGAAGTGAAATAATCTCCTAGGCTCAGAGTGAGGGAAATTAAGAGTATGGATTACGCTGAGAAAGTGAGGGATGTTGAGGGGGTCTCGCCACGCCAGAATCAGAGGCTTTGGCTAGAGTTTATAACTCAGGGGTGAAAATAGCGTTCCCAACGCTCCGATTGGATTAACGTGAATAATTAAGATTATCTTTGTAACCACAGGAGAAAAAAGAAGCGGGACGTCCTACCAAAAGTGCCTAGGAAGTGTGCAGGAAAAATGCCCGGCAACCTTGACGTGCATCCTGGCTGTCCTGTGGAACCGCTCTCCAGCATGCAGACTTTCTTCTGGGAGTTCTCTCCGAGTCGTAGGTACAGAAGGCCAGGGGAGTTCAGCAAGGGGCCCAGAGGTCAAGAACCTAGAGAGGCCCTGAAAGTCTGAGGGCCCGCGCTCAGTGCGCCCCCTCCACACGCGGCCTCCGGGCCCTCCCGGTTCTAGGTGACAGGTGCAACTGCAGTCTTGGCCTCTGGCTTTGCCAGGGCGGCCGCCGCGCACTGGTGCGGAACCACTATCTGAACGGGTTTGCGCTTCTGTTTACAAAGCAATCCTGCCATCAAAAGAGGAACAAAATCACCACTTATCACACCCTGTCATAAAGTAATCTGCCCCCAAGGGAACCCCTAGTGGAGAATCGCGCGCAATGCGTGTGTTTGTGGGGGAGGAAAGAGGGACTCTTCCAACTCTCCTCTCGAGGAAATCTCTGGGACACTCGGTGTCGCCCCAGGCCGGGGAAAGAAGAAGGAGAGTTCCCCGCGCTGGGACGCTGGGTAGAGAGAGGGAAGCCCAGCCCGGGCCTGGTTCTGGGAGAGGTTGGCATCCTACTCTCCGTTGTTTAGAATGAGTCCATCTACAGGTCCAGTGTCAACTTTCCAGTGTCTTCGAAGTCGTTCCAAAGGTCCCCAAAATGGATTCACAGAGAATGAAAAATCAGTTCAATTCTTGCAAAGTCCCTTTTGATCTCTTTCGCTGCAGGAGCTCGCAGGGCTAAGTGGGCGGCGTTCAGATAAACAGACCAGGAGAGGAGGAGTTTTCTCCCCCTAACCCCCTTCCGTTAAGGACTCAACTGGCAGTACCTGTCTAGTAGTGATGATACTGAAATGGATGGAAACGCCCGGAAGTCCTGGGGAGTTACAAAGAATCCCTGTACAGACCCAGCCTTCTCAGATTATGCCCTTCGTTCCCTGTCTCACTGAGGCCAGACACCCTTCATGCAACCAAATCCACATTAGTGACCTTTTTGAGTTGTCTTTTGGAATTTTGCAAAAAACCACCACCACAGGCGCTTCAGATAGCCATGCAAGACAGCTACTGTGGGGGTCTTGGTCTCAGTAACTGACCCCTCTACAACAACCGAATTTGGGTTTGTTCATGAGCAATCCTGGGCGTCCAATACTTCAGACACACCCTTTTCAATTCTCTTAGCC